TTCCCATGATAAATGTGTGCACTTGCTTCAACTCTCTCAGAAGGAATTATTAGAATTCTAGAATTCATTTTGGGTTTTTCCCATGCCTTACATTAGACCTTCATTTCCCTCATTATTCTGTTTGTATATAACTCTATGCCTCTCTTGCTTGAGGATACTCTACAGAAAAATATTTTTTTTGTTGAGACAGGTTTTACTATGCAGTTCAGGCTGGCCTTGAGCTCACTATGTAGCCCAGGCTGGCCTTGAACTCAAGGCCTGCCTCGCCTTCTGATTTCTTAGATCACAGGCGTGTACCACCCTGCCTGGCTTTGTACAGAAAAATCTTAATAAATGTTGTATGTAATAAATAAATACAAGCTGAAATTCTAAGAATATTACATGCAAAAGCACCAAGGCCAGATGGTTTCACAGCTGAATTTTTCTCTTAATTAAATAAATAAAATTTAAAAATCTTCACAATATTATCTAAACTATTCAAGGCCACAGATAAAAGCTGTGAAATAACAAAGTATGATGACGATAGCCTCCTCCAAAATGTGTAACCATTTCTTAACTTGTAACCATTTCTTAACCATTTCTTAAATGTAACTTCATTTCTTAACTTGTCTTTATGAAAATAAAGACAAGTTTTTAAATAAAGTGAAAAAGTCAAGTCTAGCAATGTAATAAAAAAAATGCGTGTTACCATGGCAAGTTTTATTTCCACAGTGCAAGTATTATGTAAAAAAAGAATGCAACCATAGGTCAGAATCAGGAAGGTCTACCAATATAATTTATATTATGAAGAAATTACAGAGAGAAAACCATATATTACTAAGGCTCTTTCTGAATGTCAGCAGCTGTTTCAGGTGAAAATAGAAAGCTACTTAAATATAATAAAGTTTACTCGACAACTAAGAACGAACAAAACCCCCAAATGAAACAAAAAATATAATAAAAGACACCATTACAATGTTTATAAAATAAACCATTACATTTGTAATGTAAAGACACCATTACATTTCTCTGTTTTGTTGTTTGTGTCTGGGATACTGGGGATTGAATGCAGGGCCTTGTGCATAAGAGATGTGTGCTCTACATCCTCAGGCCTTTTTGTTCTTTATTTTGAAACGGGGTCTCACTAAGTCCGCCAGGCTGGACCCTCTCCTCCTGCCTCAGCCTCCTCTGTAGCTGGGAGCGCCGGTGAGGCCACCATGCCTGGCAAGAGCTGCATTTTGTATAATCTGCAATTCAGTAGCAAGAGATACTTTAACCAAGTCAGGAAATCTGTATAATGGAAATGTTAGTCTTTTTTGACCTCAAAAAGTTCCAACTATTGTGCAGCAAAGAATACTAAGATTAAAATCAATAGCAACAGATATGGGAAAAGATTTGTAAAGTTGAAAGACAAAAGGTTAATATATTTTATAAACATAAATTTACAGACTAACAAGTAATAGCCAAGTATTCTAGCCAGGCACGGTGATACATGCCTGTTGTCCTGGCACTTGGGAGGCTGAGGCAGTAGGGTCGCTGTGAGTTTAAGGTCAGATTGGGCTACATAAAGAACAAGTTCCAGGCCAGCCTGAACTGCACAGTGAGACCCTGCCTCAAAAAACCCAACCAACCAACCAAACAAACAAACAAACAAAATAGTGTGGCCTATACGATTACAGTGTGTGATGCTGAGAATGATAAGGAGAGACTATCACTGGTTTATGTGTTCATGCTAGTGCACCTTCAGATCATTAATGTAGAATGAGCCCCCACCCACCAAGGAAGCCAAAGGTAGAACACTGTGCCCTGTTAGTTGAGTGACTCCACCATTTGTGCTGCACGTCTACACAATACTCTCTGTGAGGCACGCACAGGACACTTGGACTGAGGTTGTTTCCTTTTTTTTTTTTGTCTTTTTGAGACAAGGTCTCGCTATGCAGTTCAGGCTGGCCTTGAGCTCACTTTGTAGCCCAGGCTGGTCTTGAACTCACAATGATCCTCCTGCCTCAGCCTCCTGCGTGCTGGGAATACAGGCGTGTGCCACCACGCCCGGCTTGAGGTTGTTTCTTAGAGAGAGTGTCCCTGCTGGAAAGCAGGGCCCACTGTGAAACAAAAGAGACCAGATGGGGTCTCACGAAGTCCCCCAGGCTGGGCGAGCTCCTCCTGCCTCAGCCTGCCCACAGCTGGGAGCACAGGTGTGTTTGTGGAACACCGAAGCCTTGCAGAGGTGCGGGCACGCTGGCATACGTATAAGTCCAGACGCGCTTGGGAGAGGGCGGCTCGGGTTCTGCGCAGACGTCCCGCTGACCCAGTGAGGAGTGTCCCTGACTTGTGGGAGCACTAAGACCCTCACTGGCTTCAGGGCGAGTTTCGGGGCAACCTGGATCCCGCGTGCTGACTGGGAAACGAACCCCTCGCGGGCACAGATGTTTGCAGATGTCCGGAGCGGGCCTGGCTGGGCAGCGGGTGCTCGGCACACACCCGGCGTCCTTCGCAGCCTGTCCTCACGCGCGGCGGGACATCTGCACAGCGAGGAGCGGCAGGCCCCGCGCAGATCCCAGGGACGGCGCGCAGCCGGGGCGCCCTTCCCCAGGGGCTCCTGTGTCTGCTGCAGGGAAGGTGCCGCCGCGCCCGCTGCTGCCGGCACTGCCCCGGGCATTCGTCAAACTGCGACCTCCTGGGGCGCCCCGGAGCGCTGCACCTGAAGCTGCATTTCCACCAGTGACGCAGGACCCCGGGAGTCTGGGGACCCCGGCCCGCGTCCGCGCGACTCGGCTTGTCCTGGGGAACCGGTGGGCAGGGGGCGTCACCCCAGGTGTGCCCTGAGCGCGGCCGTGCGCGGTGTGGCTGAGAGGCAGCCCCCCAGGCCCCCAGGTTCTGACCCCTTTGGCCGGAAGGCACCTCCTGCACAGGCAGGGCCGCTGGAGAAGGAGAACTGGAACTGAGGAGCAGGAGGGTGTGATGGAGGCTGAGCCCGCCCCGGGGGAGCCAGGAGGGGCCAGAGCCCAGCGCACGGAGTGGGCGACTGTCTGCCCCGCCCCAGGCGCTGCAGACGCCAGCTCTGCCCCGGTGACGCTGGGCACCAGGACCAAGCTTCAAGTGCAAGGAAGGAGCCGGGTGCTCCACCAGCGGTCCCGCAGAGCTGGCAAGGCCCTGGGCAAAGCCAGCTGGGCACTGGCCTGGTGCCCATCATTTAAGGGGGAAGGCTCCACACGCTCAGTTGTCAAGATAAATAACATTTCAATGCCGTATTTTAAGAAACAAAATCTGTGCAAAAATCCATGAGGAATAAAATATCAACATCTTATGTAAAGACAGGATCGGTATTACTGATACTTCTTTTGCCTGAAGCTCCAAATGCTCCTGCCCAGCGTGACCCCAGCCTGTTTCACCAGAAGAATTAAATGATGCTGAGTCTGCGGGCAGCGGGGGAGGTGGCCTAGCCTCCAACAGGATGGGTTGATTGTTAAGTGACCCTCGTGAAGGGACACACAGCGCAAAGCTTTTCAAAGTCTCCGTGCCCAATGTAGTGGTGCACACCTGTAATCCCAGCACGTGTGAGGCTGAGGCAGGAGAATTGCTTCGAGTTCAAGGCCAACCTGGGCTACGTAGGGAGTTCAAGGCAGCCTGGACTGCATAGCAAGACCCTGCCTTAAAAACAAACAAAAAGTCTCCATGCCTGGGCCCTGCGCAGGCTAAACTGCACGTAGAGCGTGGGGCGATGACCTGGCGACCCGGACAACGGTGGCACACAAGGCCGGGAGAAAAGCGACGGCCTGGCAGGACCTCGAGGCCCGGGAAGGCTTTCTGGACTTCTCCCCGAGAGCCCTGGGAGGCACGGGGTGCAAGCAGCGAAATGGCACGAGTGGGCCTTTGTTAAACCCCCGTGCCGCTGGTGGGGAGGCCCGGCCGGGGTCCAGGCGGGAACCAGAGCAGCGCGAGTGGAGCAGGAGGAAACACTGCCGGGTTTGGTGGCTCAGCGTCAGGCCTGCTGTTCCTGAACCCTGGCGGGCCCTGCCCAAGTGCAGAGGTGAGCTGGAGCCCTGTCGCTGAGCCCGCGGGCGTGGGGCGCTCCTCCCTGCTGGTGACCCGGGACGCGGGCGCACCTGGCAGCCATATCATAGCATCGTTTCCATGTGCGCTCAGGGCAGAACTTGCTGGCTACAGCGCGTCTCGTTTGTGGACGGTCTGAGCCTTGATATCTAACTCTGCCTCGCTCAGCTCAGGCTGCTGTCACAAGAGGCCCCAGACCTGAAAACCTGGATTTCTCACAGCTCTGGGGGCTGGAAGTCGAGGTGTGGGCAGGGGAGGGTCGGGTGGCTGCTCAACGGCTTGCAGGGGGCCACCTTTCCATGTCCTCTTGGGCTGGGAGCAGAGCGCCTGGGTGTCTTCATCCACGGCCGGGGCGCTGACCTCCTGTGTGCGTGGCTCCATCCTTACGCGCAAAGGCACAACCTCCAAACACCCTCGCTCTGAGGATCAAGGCTGCAACATAGGAACTGGGGTGGGGGCATGCGCATTGGGTCGGTAGCAACTCTTTGAAATATCCTGTCTTCTGTTAGCTTTCGGTGCATTAGTAAAAGAGGAGACCTGTACTTATTTAACTGGAAACCTAGTAATTAAAACGACCAACTGCTCAGTTTTTACTGTATCGCTAGTCATTTTAATAGAATTCTGCTTGTGTGTGTTTGATTCAGTGAAGTAGTTGTGTGAACTATCTATTAGTTGAATTAGGATTATTTTTCTTTGAGTGAGCTGTATTGTGTTTTTAAAGGGTGTATGCTTCGGTACATACAGCTAGTGATTGTCTTTTTTTTTTTTTTTGGTTTTTCTCCAGTACCGGGAACCGAACTCACGACCTTGCGCTTGCCAGGCAGGCGCTTTTGCCGCTAAGTTAAATCCCCAGCCCCCTACAGCTAGTGATTAACGACAGTGTTGCTTTATGGAAGTGCTACTTAGGTAATAAAGAACTCTTTTCCCAGCGGGATTCAAAAACAGATCAGAATAAACTAGCCAGGACATATGGGAAATTTGATTTAATTATAAAAGACGTTGTAAATTAGAACAACAGTTCTAAAATGACTTTTACATTTGTGCTTATTTACATATATTAACACTCAATCGGAGATAAGAGTGGAACTTTTTAGTTGCACTAAGACTTGAAAGTAGTCGTATAATATAGTTTTAAAAAACTCAGTTTGTAGTAGTGAAATATACTCCTCTTTAAGCTTTATTGAAACTTTATGCCAGATTCTCTACATAATTTTGGTTTCCAAATAGGCAGTTGTCCCCTGTAAGAAATCCGATTCACTCGTTCTTTACCCCGGGTCTCATTTAGCTCAGCTGATCTTTCGCTTCAGTGTTTTAGAGTTTACTTCACATCTCACAAAGGTTTTCTCCTGGGCTGGGTGAAGTAGGTCATCCTTGTTTTCTGAGCAGAATGTCATTCTGAAGAGAAAACATAAAACAAGCAGGCATTAAGTTTGAGACGGGAGTGTTTCATGCTTGGTCAAATACTTCTCAAATTGTGTGGTGCGGGTGATGGATATTTTTGCATTAAACTCTTATGTTCGGAAATATCCTCATAGCTTCAGACAGACACAAAACCCGAGGCAGGGGAGGCCTGGCCTGGGGCTCCCTGGGGCTCTGCCCGGTGAGGTGTGCTGGTTAATGCACAAAGCCTGGACCGCCGTTCCCTTCCTCCCCTTCGAACGGCTCATGGAGAAGCAAGGGCGACCGTTCGCCTTCCCCTGCGAGGAGAACTGGCCCCCGGGTCTCCTTGGACAAGCTCTGGCCCCCCAGTTCTCTCGGCCCTGGGTGTGAGGCCCGTAGGTGTGCGGCCCGTCATCCTGCGCCCGAGTCAGGCCTAGCCCTGTCCTCGGCTGGCGCGGAGCCGGTCGGCCCAGCTTCTGTCTCTGTGGCAGATGCAGTACTGCTTGCTGTGCGGCGTATTCTTCCTTTGCTTTGCCTCTACAGCCAGATCTTTACGAATCAAACTTTCTTAAATTGAAAGGTGATAGGAATACTTCAGGGATGCAGTCTTGAAACACTCAAATGGTAGAGGAATATATAAAGCCAGATGTGAAAGGCGGACTTTGCCATCCCCCGTCCACCCCTCTGCTCCCTACATCCATGGCTTGGTTTACGTCTTTCTTGGCCCATTTTTATCATTTGCACGTATATCAGCATTCATATACAAACACAGCTTTAGAACAGAAGTGAGATTATACTGGTTGTATTTTCCACAAGTTTTCCTTTTCATCAACGAACAGTACTCAGAGACCTGTTTGTGTGAGTACATTTAAACCCATTGCATTCTTTCCACCCGCTGCCTGACATGCCATTGTACGGCTGTGCCACAGGGCGTGTTCTGCAGTGTATATTTTTTGTACACATATGTCATTTGTGCACATTTTTTAGCATGTGTACGAACACTCCAGAAATACTGCAGACCCATACAAGTGAAATTCTGGGGCAGGGTGTTACGCATATTTAAAATATTGATAACGTAAGCTCCATGAGGCCAAGGATGGTATCTTTTCTGTTCACTGCTGCTTATCTGATGCCCACAGTAGACATTAGGTCAATGAGATGTCTCTGAAAAACTTCTGGGATGTACCCTCCTCTTGGTAATTTTGAAGAACACCCCCTTTTTTTTTACCTTCTACCACCCCTCGATATTGTCTCTTTTAATTCCTGCCGAACTCATGGGTCACCAGTGATAATTTCATTGCTTTTGGCTTTGTACTTACGTAGTTACTATGGAAACTGAACACCTTCTCAGTATGTGTAGCCAATTACTTATGTCTTGCTACAAGGCCCAAACTTTCTGCTCTTGTTCTTCCCTTCCCTGTACAACCTTGCTCATCCCGGGTTGTGCCGTGGGGGAAAGGAAACCGCGTCCCGCTGCACCCCTCCCACCGCTGCACGAAGTAAATGACTCAGTCAGCTGTTCCCCGTGCGCTTGCCAAAGTAACTACGAGTGAGGAGTCAGCGTTTGCACCCCGACTTTGGGCTTTGGTTTGCAAAAGGTGCCGAGCAATTGCAGTTGTTACGATTTCCATTTATTGCTAATGTCTCAGAGGGGTGGGCGGTGAGGTCCGGGTGCTGGTTCTGGCTGCCACACTGCCAGACTCGTGTGCAGCCTGGGCTGAGGGTGGCCTGCGCCTGGGGCAGCGGCTTCCCCCAACCCCAGCCCCCGCCCCCACCTACCAGGCAGAGCAGAACTGCCCTTTGCCCGGATCCCCGACGCCCGGGTGATGCACGCTCACGCGGAAGTTTGAGAACCTGGCAGGGAGCTCGACCTCGGTGAATTAATTGTCTTGTTTTCCGATTAGGTCTTGGAATTGCTTTATCCTGAGAGCCATAGCTCAGAAATTTGCAGGGCCGGGGTTGCCCCTCAGCGGCGCCTGGTACTGTGTAGACACAGGAAGACGCTTAGAATTTACAGCTTGAGGAGGACGGACCCCCTCATGCACGGGCCTGCAGCGGCCTGAGCAAGGGTCGCTGCACCCTCTGCTAGGTTTGTCTGAGGAAAGCCAGGTGAGCGGGCCCGGACTCATGGGAGAAGGCAGCGCTGGAAGTAGTGCCCGGGCCACAAATGGGGCATCAGTCAGGTGAGCCCGAGGCGGCTCTGGGCGCGGACAGCCGCCGGCAAGGCCCCAAGCTGTGTGTGAGCCGGGCCGCGCGTGCCTGCTCCGTGTGGCTGCGGCGTCACAGGCGGGCGCGGGGCGGGTCGTGCCAGGTCAGGGTCGGGGAGCCCCGTCCGCTCCGATGCCCACGTGCCGTGGGGCCCTGAGCGCCAGTGTCCCCGCTTTTCCTGTCTCAGTCCCCCGGGCTGCGCACGGTGCGGGCAGCAGTGTCGTCTTTTACGCCCCTCTGCGGTGCAGGGCGCACAGACTCATGCGGGGGGCCGCTGCTCAGAAGGCCGAGAGCCCGAGGGCGGCCGCTGCTCAGAAGGCCGACAGTGTCTGCGAGGGAGGAGCGGCTTAGCTTCCCCGACTGGCCGGTGGAGGGCTCTGCTGGGACTCTGCACCCCCAGAGAGGAACGCTCGAGTGCGGCGGTGGCGGGGCCCGGGGGCATAAATCACCCCCGGCTGCCGGCAGAGGAACGAGGCTGAGGGAGGCGTGGGGTGCGGAGGGAGACCTCGGCCGTCTTCCCTCTCTCCAAGGGCAACCCAGAGAGCAATGGACTTCTCAACAAAGGAAGGAGAAGCCGGAGAGGTTTCCGGAGCGCAGAAGGGCGCAGACAGGGCCGGGCCAGGGCCGCACAGAGCTGCCCTGCAGTGGAGGGTGCAGAACGAGACCTGCACGGTTGCCATGGCAAAGTGTGCTGGCATCCCTGCTGGTGGCCGTGAGCCCCGGGGCAGCCCCCGGGCCCCTGGCACCCTGCGCCGCCCCCTTCTTGGCCCTGGGACTTGGGGAGCGGGGAGTCATAAACCCACACGGCTGCGTTTCTGAAGGGCTTCCCGCGGGAATTTCTCAGGGTTCCGATTAAAAAACAAGCCCCCCTTCCCGTGAGCACCGACAGCGGATGCCCTGCAGGTGGGTCCAGGGATCCTGTGTACTCCACAAGGTCCAGGGCGGCTTTGGCGCCTGGGATTGGAAAGGCCCGGCCTCAGGGCCTGGTGAGGGAGTTGGGCGAGTGTTTCTGGTAAACAGCAGACCGAGCTGCCGCATCTGCGGTCCAGGGAGGTGACTGGGGGGAAGAGGGGAAGGGGATTGGAAGGTGAGGTGCAGCTGGGCGTGGTGGCGCACACCTATAATCCCAGCACTTGGGAGGCTGAGGCAGGAAGACTGCTGTGAGTTTGAGGCCAGCCTGGGCTACATAGTGAGACCCTGCCTCAGAAAAGACTAAATACATAAATAAATACATAAATAAGTAAATGAGATGAGGTGCCAGTTCCCGTCCTCCAGCTGTGACTGTGGGGACTGGGGACAGGCTCTGCCCCCCTCTGAGGGTCCACGCTCCATCACTAGGACACCCTCGCACCCACTTCCTACGCTGAGTGAGAGCCCGGCGCTGTCACCCCGCCCGGCCCAGCCAGGTGCCCGTCACCTTTGCTGCGTCTCGCCGGCCTTGACTCGGATGGTCCCTAGCGCGAGGCTGAGGCCGGAGCTGGAGGAGCGCGTGTCCCCGCCCCAGGGCACCATGGCCTGCACCGTGTTCCAGACGCTGGTCCACACCGCGCCGCGCTCCCACCTGAGCTTGACCAGGACCAGCTCGCCCACATCCAGCTCCAGGGTGACGAGGAAGGAGTAGGTTTGATTACTGGTGATTCCCTTGCCCCTGGAAGACACAGAGGGAAGCAGGTAGCTGACCCTGGTTGTAGCAGTGATGATGCCGCGGCGGACCAGGGACATGTTAGGCTGCCGGAGGGACGCGGGATGTATTTTTTGCCCAATTTTGTGAACTAGTATTCCGCAGCCTAGTCACAGAGATGGCAGTGAGTGTCGCCGGATGAGAGCACGGAGCTGGGGAAGCTGCACAGAAGCTCTGAAAGGTAATCGTTATGTACTGCAAATGTACTGAGACATGAAAGACTGAAAGGAAAACATTTAAAAGTAAAAAAGGGCTGGAGACACAAGGTATCTCCGAGGCTCGCTGTTGGCACGGATCTAGTGGACGTTCTCATCTTGGGCGGCTTCTTCCCAGGAGAGTGTGGGCTTGGGCGCCGGCTCTGGCCCAGGTCTGCGGCCCGTGGGTGGCTGGGGGACAGCTCCCCGCCCACCGCTCCTGTGACCTCCCCGTGCGAATGTCTACACCGGGACGAAGCCGAACGGTCGGTCGTGCAAAGCCCCGTGAAGGGTGCGTCTGTTTAGAGCGGGATCTCAATGCAGACGGCGAGGCCTCCTTCACAGCTGTCTTCACCATCAAGACAGTGGGACGCCCCGACCCGGGCCGAGGCGCTGGACGTTGCACTTGCCCCCACGGAGAGCAACCCCGGGCGGCTGCAGCGGGCTACGGAGTCGGGGTGCCGCGGTGGGCGACGGAGGGGTCCCCAGACGAGCCAGAGGCCGTGCAGAGGCTGACGCCCGGTCTTCCTGGAGCTTGGGGTCACCCCATGGGCAAAGGGCCACCTCCAGAGCGTCTGTGTGAGGGTGGGGATCCCAGGAAGCGTCAGCTCCCGGGAAGCGGCGCCTCCGTGGGAGGCCGCCCGTGCCGGGCGCGGTGCGTGACAGCGGGCAGGCGGGCGCCCGAGACGCGCTCCTCCACGGGGAAGCGCAGCAAGCTGAGTGAGCAGGTCGGCTTCTGCCTGTGGGTTCCCAAGCGCAGCGGGCCAGCGTTGGCGGCTTCCTGTGGACACCGGCCCCCCCTCCGCCCCGCCAGGCTTCTTCCTGCACGGCCCCTGTCTGTCCCACACACGGCCCGGCACACAGGGACACGTGCACCCTGGGGTGGTGGCTGTCCCCTCAGACCGGCGTCGGGGGCAGCCATTTCGGGCGGGGAAGAGTGACTCATGTCTGCCCACTAGGAAACAAGCCTGGCGACCCCACACCCGGGGGCCCTCGCACTCACAGCGTGACAGGGACCTGCTGCATGTCCTCCTTGGTCCCGAGCAGCGACAGGGTGAAGGTCGGCTCCTCTGGCTTCTCAGTTTGGTTGATGAACTGGATCTTGAACTGGTAATGATAGACTGTCGCGGAGGGGCAGAGAGAAGGAGGTGAAACGGAATTTCTTCATTTTAAAATTGCCCATATTTTGAAATTTAAGAATTCAGGGGACCCCAAATTTAAAAGACCCAATGCAAAATGGGCATCTGAGCTGAATACACACTTCTCAGATGAAGAAAGACAAATAACAAATACATGTACGAAAAAATGTTCAACATCATTGGTCGTTGGAGAGATGCAAATTAAAACAACACTGAGGCTCCATCTCACCCCAGAAAGAATGGCTACCATCAGGAAATCAACCTGTAACAAATGCTGGAGGGACTGTGGGGAGAAAGGAACCCTACTCCACTGCTGGTGGGAGTGCAGACTGGTAAAACCACTGTGGAAATCAGTGTGGAGATTCCTCGAAAAACTAGGACTAGAGGTCCCATTTGACCCAGCTATTCCCCTTTTTGATATCTGCCCAAAATAATTAAAAACATCATACAACAGCAAACTATGCACATCTGTGTTTACAGTGGCACAGTTCATAATAGCCAACTCTTGGAAACAGCCCAAATGCCCATCAACCAATGAACGGATAAAGAAGATGTGGCTTTTATTTATGCAGTGGAGTACTACTCAGCTATAAAGAAGGATAAGCTTAAGACATTTCCAGGTAAGTGGATGCATCTTGAGACCATACTCAAGTGAAATAAATCGAACACAAGTGTGTAAATACCAAACTGTTTCTCTGGTGTGAGAAACTGAAAGTGTAAATAAGGACCAAAATGTATAACAGGTATTGTGAAATAGGAAGAAAATGTTCAAATGGGGCGGGGAACAAGGGATGGGGAAGGGGGAAAGGAAGGAAGGGAAAAGAAAAAAAATGAGAAAAGAAGGAAAACATGGAAACAAAGCTTTTGTAAATGGGGAGGGTGGGAGGGGTTGAAAGGAGGGTAGGGGGATGGGGAAAAAAGGATCAAGTTAAATCACGTACAGGTACAAATTCTCTATGATGGATGTGACCATTATGTATATTTAAAATGTACGACTAAAATCTGATTGAGAAAAATAAATAAATAAACAGCTGAAAAATTTAAAAAAAATGCAGGGGAAAAGTTTGGGTGGCTAGATACCGAAAGGTCAACAACACCTGAGCGGGTAGGATTACAAACGCTTTTTATCTTCATTTCCCCTCTCTGTCTAGCTGAAATATCCACACAGGACTTCCTCTGTGTCTATAATACAGTAGTGATAAGGGGCCGGGGTGTAGCTCAGTGACACAGTCCTGTCTTGGCATCTGTAGGTCCTGGGTTCAATCCCCAGCACTGCAGGAAAAAAAAGTGGTAAAACTGCAGTATGGCGTGTCTGGTGCCCGCGGACCCCTGGAGAATTTCGTGTGTTGGGCCAGGGCGCCCTTTGGGAAGTGAAAGCAGGTGAGAGAGACACCCTCCGTGGTACTCTGTCTGCAGGCCGACTGGGGGGTGTACAGAGCCCCAGCTAAGAAGCACAGGCCACAGACCACAGACCGCGTCTCCAGACGCCCGGCAGTTCCTGGAACCAGCGCTGGGTGGTGGAAGGAGTGCATTTCCCGATGCAAGCGCAGTGGACATTGTTCTGGAACGCGGGCCGGGCCCCACAGGTCCTTCTGCTGGGGCACTGGAAGAGCGGCCAAGTGCAGCCCGCGTTTAACCAGGAAAGCGCAGCACTTGCCGGGAGGCAGGTGTGGCAGGACGCTGCCCCCCGCGCCGCCTCCTTTGCTCATGGTAACAGCCCTGAGATGTCACTGTCATCCCCATGGTCCGAAAAAATACCTGGGCTTGGCTAGGGGCAGTGACTTGCTGTCTTAGTGAACCTTTTTCTTCTTGCTGAGTCCAAATACCCAACACCCAAAATGAGAGGAGGAGAGGTTTATTTAGCTCACAGTTTGTAGAGGTTTCAGCTGACTGGCTCCAAGGTAGGGGGTGTGGCAGAGAGGACTGCAGAGGAGAAAGAGCTCATGATGGGCAGAAGGCAGCAAAGCAGCAAGCAGCAAGCAGCAAGCCCTCTTTCTGCCGCTTGCATTCTCTTCAGGTAGCCTAAGGGTGGGCATCACTCACCCCCAGCATGGGGCAGTCTTATCCCAGCACTGCACCTTGGGTCATTCCCAGCATCACACCCTGAATCTCATCATCACACATCCTCCACCTCTGAAAAGCCCCAGCTGTGACGGCATGAGGAGGCTTTGGGGGACATCTGGACACAAGCCATAATAATTGCCAAAGCTCACAGGGCTGGGTCTGCCCTTTCTGCTGCCCTGCAGTGCTGGGCTGTTTTCAGAACTACCCCGCCTCAGGTTTATCCCAGCCAGGTCTCTGCTTGGACTTCAGTACGACGTGTCCTGACACGCCAAACCTGACAGAGTGAACGCCAGGAGCCTTAGGTTGAGATGGGTCCTGAGATCACGTCTGGATCTTGGGAAGACGGGCGTCTACCTTGGACCAAGAACAGGGGATTTCTGGTTTCCTGTCATGTGTTTGCTGTGGAGTAACCCGACAGTTTGCTTGGAGTTGGTGTGTTGGGATTGGGACCAACATCTATTGAGATGGGGGCGCTTCTGAGGACTTGAGTCTGGGAGCCGGGGGGAGTCCTGCTGAAGAGCTTGGAGGGGGTGGCCTGCGCCCGACCCGCTGCCCCACATGTGGGAGTCCCATCTTGCCGGTCACACACCAGCCCTCTACCCCAGCTTCCCTCCTGCGCACCTGCGAACTCGCCGGGGACTCGCTCTGCCCCATCCGTGTGTGGCCCATGCCCGGCTTCCAGACTACAGCCGGCCACGCCTGCCCCTGTGTCTGCAGACGCCGTCTCTGCGGTTGCCTGAGGGGCTGCAGCTGCACATGCGTCCTGCTGACCCCGAGTACCGGACACTAGGAGTCGATTTCTAGGCTAAGTTTTCACCGTGGCCAAGAGCCCCGCACAAAGGGGTGCTCAGATTTTCCAGGCTGGAGAAAGTAGCTCAACGCCCCCCGGGACTTCACAAGAGGCAGCGGGTGGGAACCAGGGGCGGGCTGCACACCTGCATCCCAGGAAGGGTCCCCGGACCGGGGGTGCCCTCGGGCGGCCACAGCAGGGAGAGGGACCTGGATCCGTCATCCCAGGGCCTCGGCGGAGGTCTCACACCATTTGGGGTTGACAGGGAAGACTGGGGCCCTGGAACAGGGTTATAAAGACACAGGGTGCAGGTGTGGGGGACGAGGTGGGAGCGTCCAGCACCCATGTCCAGCCCAGCCGAATGTCGTGTGCAGGAATTGTGTCTACTGTGTGCTCCGCCCAGGGCTGGCGGGACAGACGCGTGAAGCTGTGTAGCGGGCGCAGTGCAGGGCGATCACAGGGGCCGGCGGTTACCCGTTTATTTCTACCAGGTGCCTCTGTGTCCTCAGGTCACCCTTACAGCGCTTGACACCATTATCTCCTCGTGTTAGAGATGAAGAAACAAGCACAGAGGAGGGAAGTGACTTCTGGAGGATCACAGAGCTATAGTAAGCAGCATAACCGGGATGTAGGCCCAGGCAGCCTAGCTCCACAACCTGAACTTTTAAAAGTTTGTATTTGGAACCAATAGCTTTCTGTACCTTAAGGAAAAAATTAAAATGTGAAAAAGAGTTTTAAATTTAAAAATGCCATAACGGGCCAGGCATGGTGGCCCATGCCTGTAATCTGAGGCCTTTGGAAAGCTGAGGCAGGAGAATTGCCGTGAGTGTGAGACCAGCCTGGGCTATGTAGTGAGTTCAAGGCCTGCCTGAACTGCATAGCAAAACCCTGTCTACCAAACCCTCCTACCCAAAAAGACAAAAAAAGACAAAAAAAAAAGCCATAACTATTGTTTATTTATTTAGTATTTCCCCTTTTTTTGGGTACTGGGAATTGAACTCAGGACCTTGCACTTGCCAGGCAGGTGCTGTGCTGCAGGACTATATCCCTGGCCCCTAGTTATTTAAATTTTTTATAACAATGACTTATTTAAAAACAAATGAGAAACACCCTAAATATTTAGTAATAGAGGAATGACTATAGTCTAATAATGACAATTCCTCTGTCTTTCTGTCTGTCCTTTCTTTTTATTTCTTTCCTTTGTTCTCTTCCTCCCCTCCCCCCTCCCTCTCCCTCGCCTTCCCCCTCCTCCTCTCCCTCTGTGTCTCCCTCTCCTTCTCCGTCCTTCTCTTTGAAATAGGATCTCACAATGTTGCCCAGGCTGGCCTTGAACTCCTTCACTCAAGTGATCCTCCTGTCTCAGCCTCCTGAGTAGCTGGAACTACAAGCACACACCACCACGCCCACCCGGCAGTAACTCTAACAACCACCATTTACTGCTTCGCTGTGTCACAGACACTGGGCGGTTTTACGTGATTGCTCCCATTTCTTCACAACTCTATAAACTTCCCGAGAGACTCGCGGTACCTCACGGAGGGGGGAGGAAGCCGAGGGCCCACATCACCCGGCGCTCACCAGCCCAGCCTCAATCCCAACCGAGTGATCTACTCGTAGGAGGCCATAAAAAGGGATTTCTGGAGCAACTCCGATGTTCATGAATGAAGTGGAAAACAAAAAAGAAAAAAACAACCCAGTGGAATACGAGGGTTTCCAGTATGAGGCCAGCTCTACAGAGCAGACTGTATGAAAGGGGGGAGTTCAGAGAAATACAGACAGTGCCTGCTCTGGGGAGCAGAGCGACTCCATTCCCCTCTTCATGCTTTTCTGCCCATCCGTGTTTTCTGCGGTAAGCGAGAAGTTTAATTACAATGGAAAAAGGAGAAGCTTTCAAAGCAAACAAAACAGTCAGGACCAGAAGCCGCCGTGTTGGCCTGCAGGGGCGGGCGGGCTGCTGGCTCACGGGACCCCTCACCTCGGCCTTGGCCCCGGGCGTCAGTGTCCACGTGACACCCTGACAGTGGCCGTGGGGTCACATCGCTGGCTTGTATCTCTGCAAGGCTGTGGGGCTTGCTGGGCACCCAAGGGGTAGCGGTTGGTGCGTGGTGCGGAGGACCACATCGCGGATCCCACGTGGACAGGAAGCCCAGAGACGCCCTGTGTCTGCTGAGATCCACCACGTGTCAGGTTATGCTCTAACTTGACTCTGTGCTTCTCTGCCCGGCCCGAGCCCTGGGCCTCCTTGCTGAGTAGCTTCTGGCAAGATTTCCCTCGCAGGACGTCAGGGTGCGGGAGAGAAGCAGGGACTTTGCTCACCAAGTAGTGTGCCCAAGACCAGCAGGAGCGCCTCGGCCTGCTCAGTGGCCCCGTTCCGGACCCCGCTGTCTTGCTCCTCCTATCTAGCCGTCAGGCTTGGGGTGCCGCCACAGCCCTGCAGTTTCTGCACGGCCGCCGCCCCTGCAAGGAGCACCCACCCCTCTCTCTCCCTCTGCTGGGCATGAGGAGTGCTGTTTCCGAGGGGCCCGGGTCTGACCTGGCGCTGATGATCCTGGTGAGTTACAGCTGGAGAAGCTGAGGTTTGGAGAGCCCTGGTTGCCCAGCTGGTTAGAACGGGGACGGAACTCGAACCCAGGCATGGGAGACGCCGGGTCCCTCGGTTCGGGAGGAGGACGCTCCCGTGGAGCCTGGGAGCCAGGTCTCCACCATCACCAAGGTCCGACAGAGCGCTGCCCGTCCGCGGCGGTGTCACCGTGAAGGGGCGGGTCTGCGAGGAGCCGAGCGAGTGTCGCAGTGACAGTCCCAGGTTCCCGTGAGTGGCTGCGCTCCCGTTGCCTCGTCAAGTGTTTAGTGAGGGTAACGAAAACGACTTGGAGAAAAGGCTTGGGATCCTGTGACGATTCCAACACGGCCCCGGCAGGCGGAATCCCTGCAGGTCTGACGAGGGCAGCGGGAGCAGAGACCCGAAACGGGAAACCCCGATTCTGACCCTGTGGGTTCTGCCAGAGAATTTTCATGAAGGAAAAACTAGGTTTTTTTTCCCGCGGCACTCGGTGAGCTTCGGGTTGAGAAACTTATAAAGGAGAATGCTTTGTTTCTTGTTTCTTTTTTTATCAAAGGACAGATGGTCCAGGTTCAGTAGATACTGGCTCTGGGAGACCTGACGGCTCTCGGTTCCCCTCAGGGCGGGGGCTGCCGGCCTGGGACTGCAGGGCTGAGAGCTGTGTCTTCTCCAGGTGCCCAGGCCTCGGTGCCGGGTGCGAAACTCCTCGAAACTGGAGACCCTGGAAGCTTGGGGCCCAGGCTGTGCGTCCCCAGTGAAGCTGCTGGTGTTGGATGCAGTTGCAAGGGGAGGAGAAGGGACAAGTGCTTTGCGGTGCGTGTGCGTGTGCGTGTGTGCGTGCTGTGTGCATGTGTGTGTGTGTACACACGTGTGTGCATGCGTGTGTATGTGTCTGCGTGTGCACACGTGTTTGTTCTGGTGACCATGTTGGGCTGTAACAGCGTGGTGGTGCACGGTCCCCTGCTGGTCCCTGCTGTCCCCAGTGCAGACAGAGGAGGCCGTGTGCATGGCGGGCAGGGCTCTCTGCCGCCAGCCTCCAGCCACCAGCTCCTCCTTCTGGGGGTGGGAGAGTGCGTCCCAGGCAGAGGGGCAGAGCCTGACCTCGGTCCCCTGCCGTGCGGTCTTGTTGGCGTCCGCCCTCGTGCCCACTCAGGAGCTCAGCTCCCCAACGGGGAGGTGGGTTGGAGTGTGCTCAGGGGCCGCGGGGCCCGTGTTCGGTGGTTCGCTCCCTGTCGCTCTGTTGCCGGGGCCCAGGTTGGTTTAGTCACCAGGTGGAGGTCGCAGGGGCTCCGCCTCCCCTCCGGCCTGAGTCCTCTCCCTGGTGCTGGAGCAGCTGGGGCAAACCTTCCGGGGACGCAGCCGAGAGGAGCTGAAGCCAGAGTCGCAGCGCTGCGGGCTGTCGTCTCACCAGCCGGGGTGACAGAGATGCCGGTTGGCTGGAGCCAGACGAGGCACAGGCGAGCGCTGGGGTGGGGTGCACTCGAGGTGGTGCCGCTCGGGGCGCAGGTGCGCCGGCCGCTCACCAACCCGGCGGCCCGGAGGCAGGCTCAGCCTCTCGACGCCCAGTGTTGGGGGGAAGGTTTAGCACCCCCGTCTCCGTCTGTCTCTCCTCAGCGGCTGAGGGTCGGATGAGAGCCGGGCTGACGGTGCGGCCCACCGGCCCAGCTGAGCGCCCCCAGGGCCCCAGGGCCTGTCCCGGCTCTCGCCAAGCAGGACTGAGCCTCCCTCCTGCACTTCCGTCACGGCGGGCTCTGGGCCCGGAAGTGGGCGCCCGGCGCCCCCCTTCCCTTCCCGTGAGCCTGCTTCTCAGCCCCCTGCAGCCGCTGCTGAGGCCGCAGCAGTGTTCACGGGGTTTCGGCGTGGCGTTGCAGGAAACAGCTCCTTTGATGGTTTCCTCAGAATGTCTTGGAGGTCAGAGGAACTCGGGCCCAGTGAGTCATCTATTGTGCAACCTAACCAGAGGCGAAGTTCTTCCTGCCCAGCCCGGCCCTGGCCCGAGCACGGCACAACTTGCTGTCCTTGGGAGGGTGCATGAGGCCGCTGGGAACCCGCGAGCTGGGTGTGCCCGCTCTTTCAAGGGTCCACACATACCATCAAAACGCCAGGGGTGCCCGAAAGAGGGCCGAGGCCAGAGTCGGGTGGCCCTGGGCGCGGAGAGGGGAGCTGCGTGGCCAGGGCCGGAACGCCAGGCTTCACACCGCACCCTCCCAGAACCGCGTCCGAGGATGGAGCTGGCGCGTGGCCGTGCTCTGCGGTGCGGCGCCTCGGAGCTGAGCCGTGCCGGGTCCAGCATGGCAGAGAAGCTGCACTGGGGGTCTTCTTTAACGTACAGCGTTTAAACTGAGATCCGAACGGCTGCCAAGCGGTGCCACCTGCAGACCGAGCTCGCGGGTGACCACACTCACTGGGCTTCCTCCGAAGCCCCTTGCTGCGCCTTAGTCCGCCCCCCGACCCCCCGGACAGACGGGCGGGGACCGACGGGAGGGGACCAACGGGAGGGGACCGACAGGAGCGGACCGATGCGCCCTTGTGCCCGCCGTTTCCCAGACGCCTGTCTGCTGCGCGTGTGGCCCCGTCGCTTGCTCTTGGGTCTGCACAGCTCACACTGGGGACCCCCGGCTGCTCACTGGGTTCAGGCAAGCACAGGTCTCCCGAGTCAGCCCTAGTCCATCTCCTCGCAGGTGTGCCCAGCGGTCCTGCTTCCTCCTCTCTACAGCCAGGGAATGGCCAGCCCTGCCCACCTTGCCGTGCGGGGGTCGGAGGTGTCCCAGTGTGTATAAAACGTTGGGAGTGCAGCGGGCGGGACGGCCCGGTTGCTGCTCCCCAGACCCGGGTCTGCGCATCCTTACAGCGCGCTCAGCAGCAGGGTCCTCTGAGCTCTGCCCAAGGTGGGGCCCGGGGAAGCTGAGACCCGAAATCGCCCCGAGCTGTGCAAACGACTGGGTCGATGTGTTCATGGCGGTGGGGGTCGGCCCAGCACCCCGAAGGATTTAGGCTTCCACCCGCCTCCCTGCCGCTCCCTGCCCGCCTCCGCCCAGGATGTGGCCTCGGCCCTTCCAGCAGTGTGGCGGGCTTGCTCTCTGCCGGAGCCTCAGGCTCTGGCTGGCAGCTCTGTGTGACGGTGACGTCCTGAGGTCACTGGGTTAGACCCAGCGTGTGGAGAGAAGAGCAGCACACGTGGACGGGAGCGCTGTGCTCCATGGGGCCCGAACTCAGGCGGGGAACTGGGTTCTGGCCTGCACTGGGACCACGTAACGGGGTGGTCCAGGTGACCGGGGGGACCTTCTGCATCTGATGTCCTTGGGGCCACGGCAAGGGGCACAGAGGCCAACCCAGGGGCTGTTCCAGAAACGACCAAGGCTTCTCTTCCTTGGCACGGGGCAGCCCATTCTTGGACAAGCAGGTCGGCACTGTGGCTGCCCGGGGCCTGCAGTGCCGAAACCCGGGGCGGATGCGGGGCCCACGCGGCACTCACCTCGGAAGGGCGCCTGGGCGCGGGTCAGCAGGAAGAGGCTCTTGCTCTTGGCCCGCAGCGGCTTGCGAGCGTGGTAGCCCAGGGAGTTGCAGCGGCCTTTCCTGCAGTCCAGGCACAGGCCCTGGCTGAAGCTGCCCATGCCGCTGCACTGGTACCCGGTGCTCTGCGCGTCCTCGTGCAGCAGGGAGTCGATGAAGAGGTGCACGGCCCGCTCGTGGGCGCACTTTATGGTCTGGGGGATGGCTGGAACACGGGGGGCGGGCACGGCATCACCCCACCGCCTGCAGCCTCAGCTGGAGGGCCGCCTGGTGTCTCAGCCCCCAGAGAGTTAGCGGTGGCGCTCAGGGGGTGGGTAGACCCGCTAGGGCTCATCACGGATGGAAACTAAAGACAGTCCTCCCTCTGGGCCGCCTAGCATCGGGTGAAGCCCTGGGGACAGTGTGGGACAGCAGGTGTCTCCTGGGTGCCCGCATCACTGGGCAAAGTTCCGATTATGTAAGAAAGCAGGGCAGTAAAATCCCCACAGTGCTATCTCCTGAGTGGTTAAGAATGGCCAGGTGCTGAGGCGGAGGCGGAGCTGGTGGAGCAGATTGTGTGGGACACGGCTTCCCCTTTTTTCTTTTCTTTTTGGAGTAGTGGGGATGGAACGCAGGGGCACCCTACAACTGTGCTGCCACTCCCGCTGTTTTTAAAATTTTTTATTTCTAGACAAGGGCTTGCTTAGACTACCCAGAGGAGGCTCGAACTTGTGATCCTCCAGCCGCAGCCTCCCGGGTGCTGGATTACAGGCGGGCACTGCCTCACCTGCTGGTGGGTTGTGTCACTTCGAAGTTTAGCAACTGGCAGGGCGGGAGGGGCGGGCCAGGAGGAGGGCTGACAGTGATGCAGTGGATGAAAGAAAAGAAAGCCGGGCCAAGGCGTCCCGAGCAGGCTGTGGGGCTGGGGCAGGGGCTGAGGCTGCAGCCGGAGCAGGGTGGACCCGGGCGGAGGGGAGGTCACCGTGGTGTTGGGGGCGGGGACGGTGACGTCGCTGTGGGAGGGGTGGGAGGTGGTGCGGCTGCTCCCGGCAGCCTGTTCTACACTGGAGTGACGGTGTGTGCGTGCATCCTCTGGAAGGCTCGGCTGCCGCTGTTTGTTTTGTCCTTCGGCCCTGTGTGCTAATCTTCCGGCTTGGGGATTTGAGGGGGAGGTGGGTCATGACCCAAGGGACATCACGTGAAGGACTAGCCCCATTCTGTGAGTCAAGGATGGAGAAGCCAGGCCCTGCTAGATTGGGCCCTGCTAAAGGACGCAGGGGCCTCTGAGCTAAAAACTTCCAGAGAAGAGAGAGAACCTCCAGCGCCAGGACTCTGAAGGCCTTTGTGGGGACTCGGGGCAGGGGAGGGAAATTGCGGCCCCTGACGCTGGCCCTCAGCTCCTCCACTTGCCCTGAGCAGTGCCTGCCCCAGGACCACCGGCCTAGGCCCCACGGATGGGCTTGGGGACCACACCCGAGCCCACTTGTCCCAAGCCCCAAAGCTGAGGTGGGTGTCCCGCTCCCGGCCCGGGTGCCTCCCCTCACCGTTCAAGCCGTGCTGCGCCAGGTGTTTGTAGAGCTCCAGGAAGTGGCAGCCGGGCTGGAAGCGGCCCCCGTTGGGGTAGAAGTCGTAGTGCGCGATGGGTTGTTTGATGCCCACGCTCAGGCCCATGTGCTCCCGGGTGAAGGTGTGGATGGCATCCACAAAAGCGGCGTCATCCAGAGAGAGGCGTTCTCTGGGGGACATTCCCTCAAACAGAGGCCCGGCGGCATCCAGCCCTAAAGGGAAGGCGAGGCGCGGTGAGGGGCGCGGAGGCCGGCTCTGCCACGTCTGATGTTATCACGCATTGATGCGCTTGCCGAGGAAGCAAGACGCAGGGCCGCCTCTCTCGCTGGAAAACCCTGCCACAATCTTCGTACAGTAAAACCGCAGTCACTCACAGTGCTGAAAATGAGACCCAGGCTGGGCCGTGTGGAGGGCAAGGAGGTCGTAAAGCTATCTAATGGTACAAAGGTGGTTATGGGATGCTTGATTTATTCAAGCAAATCACTTGTAAGTACCTCTCAAGCCACTTTGAGGAGCATCTGTTTGCATAAAAAAAAAAAAACAAAACCCAGTGTGCTCACTGTCCCTAGTGCTAACCTACCTGGCAAAGACAGAATTTGTTTGCGGGCATCTCCTGTCATTTCCCCAGCATGCTGGCTTTTCTGGGGCACTACTGTCATTTTGCTGGACTGTCCAGAGCGGCCACTGCTCGGGTGAAGACGCAGTGAGCAGACAGGGCTACTCAAGGCCGCCCTGGCTGCCTGGGGCGGGTGGTGGGCATCTAAGGGTTAGAGCCTGGGCCAGGCCGGTCCACTGAGCCAGCAGGGGAGGACGAAGAGACGGACGATGAGGAGGGGCGTGTGTGTTTGGTTTCAGTGTCTGCCACTGCCCTGTCCTTCGCTAGTATATGAAGAATTACATTCCTCCTGGGGGAATAGGCTGTATTTTCTCCAAATAAGACCTAATCAGAAAGTAACCCCTAGCAAGAATTTTCAAGATGCTTCTGATATAAGCCCTGCCCACCAAATAAGCCCAGGTTAAGGTCCTCAGTCGGACAGACACATTTAGTATGTCCTTTGACACTCAGGACTGGTGTATTGAAATATAAATAATAATGTTATTAATATAGAATTAAATAATAATATTTAATTAATAATGTTAATATAGAATTAAATAGAATACTAATATTATTGACATTAATACCTAAAATAAATGATGGCATAAATTATAACTAAGCATTAGTAAATACTCAGGCAGGCACCTTGGGACGAGAGGCAAAGGCCTGTGTGAAGTGGTGACCTCGAGGCTCCTGGCCGAACGACCACTCAGAGCGCGGACGCACGCGTGGCCAGCGTGCGGCTTGGGGAGGAGCACGTGCAGCGTGTCGTAAATCAGTGCCCCGTGGGGGGGGCGGTGCGCCACGAGCGGCCGCACGGCCAGGGAGCGCACGTGTGAGGACGGCGCTCTGCTGGACACGAGGGGTCGGGGCCCACGACTCCATGGGAAATGGAACGGCCAGAAATTCAGGCCGGAACTGGGGTGTGGAGAGGCGTGATGAGGTTCAGAAGACGGTGACAGGACTGCGTTTGAATAAATGTAGATTGCTGTCCACGGAAAAATGTTAATTGTTGTTCATGGAAAAATAGGACATCCCCTTAAAATAAGCCCAGGGTATCTTTTGGGGCAAAAATTTATATAAGAACTGGTCTTGTTTTCAGGGAGATATGGTACATATCACATGTTGCTCTCATGTTAAATATCTTTTTTAAAGTGAAGGATGATAACAGAAAGTAACAGAAGTTTTTAAAAATGTTCTGATTTAACCCATTATTTATTACGATTTTTTTTTTGGTTTTTTTTTTTTCTGGTACCGGGAATCGAACTCACAACCTCGCGCTTGCCAGGCAGGCGCTGTGCCGCTGAGGTAAATCCCCAGCCCTATTTAGTGTGATTTTTAAAAAGTTTTTCCTTGACAGGAAAGTCACTACAGCTCTGTTCTTTATCTTAAATATTCTTTGTTTTAGCCTGCTGGGTCTTGAGGGATGAATAGGAGTTTGGTAGGTGGGCGAGGGCTCGGTGGATGGGTGGTGGGCACAGGCGATGCCGGGTGCAAAGGCCTCCAGGCACAGGAGGCCACAGTGTGTTTGTGAAGTGGGGAAACCTTGTGCTTTTGAAGTCTAGAGCTGCAGAAAGGTGCTGGCAGGAGATGGGGCACTCTGGTGCCACCTGACTGGGCAGGGCCTGGCCTCTGCCCCGGGGCCCCGGCTGCAGGTGTCTGTCGCCCCAGGGACTTGGCAGGGGTGATCTGACCAGAACCCGATTTGGGGCAGCATGTTGGCAGGATGCCGGGGAAGGACCTCTGCACACAGCCGGCTCTCCCTGGGTGCCGGCTGCTCCCAGCTGGGTGTGGGCTTCAAGGCTTTGGCTACCGAACTTCCTCCTTCCGTGAAAGCAGACCCTGGAGCGAGCCCGTGTGCTTCAGCGTGGGGACGGAGGCGCCGTGGAGGCCGGGACCCTCCGCTCCCCAGCTCATCCACGCGGCTGTCCTGCCTCTGAGGTACAGGTCGGAGACGCGCCTTTCCTGCTGCAGAACTGCGCCTCGGGTCTGCTGTGCATGGTCAGTGCTGCCCGGTCCACCCAGGCGGGCGGCCACGTGAGGCGGGGGCGGGGACTGGGACTGGCGTCCCGGGCTCTGGAGCCTGCTGGTGCAGTGGCGGCTCGGGCCACTTGAGAGAGGCGATGCGTCCTCCGGGGCGCCAGGCCTCAGGGAGCGGGCGAAGACGCGGAGCAGGCAGCAGGCGCGGTTACCTGTGATCCTCCCGATCTTGTGCCGCCCGCCAACGTAGCTGCCTGCGAACCCTGCGACGTGGGCGCCCAGGCTGTACCCGATCAGGTGGACGCTGCTCGGGGACAGGTGCACGGATTCCTGGAAGGGAACGACGGCAGGCGCGGGGTGGGGAGGCGTCCGCTGGCCCTGCTCCTGCCTCAGGGGAAGCTGGCGTCTTCTCTGTCCTCTGGGGCCTGGCTCGGGGGAGCCCTGCAGAAGGACACTGACGCCCTGCGGAAGGACGGCTCTCCCGCGCGGGGTCTGTGGCCTCAGGGTGTGGCGGGGTCCTGCAGCTCGGCCTGGGACACCCCTGCCCATGCCCCCCGCCCTGTGCCACCCCTGCGGGGGACAGGGAGTGGCGAGGAGGGGCTCACCTCCAGCCAGCGCAGTGTCGCGGCCACCTCCTGGCCCACGAGGCGCGCGTTGCGCACGGCCACGGCGTAGTGGTGGTGGGCCAGGGCCAGCCAGTCCGCCAGCCCCACGTTCACTGGCTGGGTCCTCAGCGCGGCCACCAGCCGGTGCACCCAGCTCTCCAGCACGCCGTCCACCTGCGGTTCGGGAAGCCAGACCCGGCTCTGGGCTTTGCCAGAGGTTCCCGACCCCAGGGCCAGTCTCACTGCCCCCTGCACGGGCTTCGTGAGCCTGCAGCAAGGGGAACGTCTGCAAAGCGGGGCCGCGGGCAGGCCCCTCTGTCCCGAGCTCTCCTGCGCGGCCTCTGAAGAGGGGTTCCGGGGCGCTCGGGTGAGCTCAGCTCGCCCCCCCAACGCTTCCCAAGGCACAGAACTGGAGGAAGAGCCCCAGCTCAGAAAGAGGATGAGGGTGGCCGGCAGAGCGGAAGCCCTGGGTCTAGGGAGGTCCAGCAGGAAGGGACAGCAGCAGCAAGGGCAGAATCACAGCAGGGCAGGTCTCCTGGGGGGTGTGGGAGAAGAGACTGCGGAGGTGAGGCTGGGTTGCAGTGCCGATGGCCTGCGGTCATCCCATTTACCACCTGTCTACCAGGTGCCTGTGGGCGCAGGTGACATCTGGCTTTCAAATTGTAAGGTGAAGGCAGGTGTAGTGGCACATGCCTGTAATCCCAGCACTTGGGACGCTGAGGCAGGAGGATCGTTGCAAGTTCGAGACCAGCCTGGGCTACAAAGTGAGCTCACGGTCGGCCTGAACTGCACAGCAAGACCCTACCTCAAAAAGACAAAAAAAAAAAAAAAAAAAAAAAAACCAAAAACAAATTATAAGGTGAATGTGCTGTCTGGAATACAGATGTGATGGCTAGCTCCCTAGCAGCTATTTTGGACTATGAAGATGAGGGCCAGAAGGACTGGAGCTTGCGGACTCTGTTGACCAGAGCTGTGTGGTCAGTGCTGCTTTAGGTCTCTGGACTATTGAACAGACCTCTGTTTTATTTGCACCACTGTGGCTCTGAATGTCTGTTATTTGCAGTGCGACATTTCCCGGGGAGTTCTCGTTTCTGGTTTCCTAGCCCCTCCTCAAAGCTGGCAGCATTGGCAGGAACCTCCCCCCCGCCGGGTGGGCTGTGTCCCTGCTGCACCCCAGAAGCCGTGTGACCTCGAGCCCCTTGTGCTCTCCCGCCCCGCTCACTGTGGCAGGGAGACAGCCACGGAGCCAGCGCGGCAGCCCTGGGAAAGCGGGGTGCGCTCCACAGACGGGGTGCGTGAGGCGCGAGGCTCCCCCCAGCTCCCGTCTCTGCCTAGTGATGTGCCCCCCCCAGGAGAGAGCGCAGCGGGGAGAGGCCGGGACCCTGCGTACCGACCACCCGTGGATGATCAGCACCAGCGGCCGGGAGGAGTTGAAGCCGCACTCCTGCAGTGAGCCTGGCCGGTGCGGTCCGATCTCACAGCCCTGGCCGTGCCCGTCCGGGAGGAGCAGGAATCTGGTCTCCATCTTCTGCAGGGCTTTCTTTGTTTCCACAGCTTGAGGTCTTCTCCCCAGCGGCTCTGCAATATAAAATCAGGGGCGGTACTCGGCCTGCCGTCCGTCCCAGCTCTGCCGGCCCCAGGCCACACGGCTGCGGAGCACACAGCCAGCAAGGGGCTTACACCTTGGAGCAGCCAGGGCGGGAGGGTGACGCAGAGGGCCTCAGTCCCTCTGTCCTGCCATCCCTGTGGCCAGCCAGTCAGGCCCGGGAGGGGTGACCAGGCGTGAGGAAGGTAGGTGGGGCAAACTCCACCCAGCCACTGACAGTGAGAGGTGGAGGCAGGATTCGAACCCAGGCCTTTCCCCCAGAGCCAGGGAGGCAGCAGCGGTGGAGCCTCTCAGTCAGGCGACACTGTGCTTGGCCCATGTTGTCACCTCAGGCAGCACACGGTGTCCTGTGTGCGTGGCAGGGACAGAGGGAGCAGTAGGTGGGGTCGGGTGATAGATTCTGCTGGACGCAGGGGCTTTTCAGGGAGCGGTGCCGACCCCGGCCTGGAGGGATGGCGCGCCCTGCGTGTGGCCCTGGGGGTTGCTGGGCCCAGGGACAGGCAGGAGGACCCAGTGAGACTCAGCAGAGCCTGCACGCGGCGGAGACAGGGACAGGCCCGGCAGCCCTGGACGCCAAGGGCTTGGGCTCTGGATGACCGCTGGCCACCAGGAGCTTTGCGTGAGAAGGACACGACGTTACCGTCTCGGAAACCTCTGAGCCTGAGGGGAGGAGGCGGGCGGTGTCTACACCCCGCTTTGTTGAAGCACTTGATCGCCTCTCTGGGAGAGCCGCACCCTGACCTCCGGCTCCTTTGGTGGGGTGGCAGCCCGAGGTCGGCCAAGGACAGGACCCTGAGTGGGAGGCCGCAGGAGGCGCCTTTCCCCCGGGTGCGGGTCAAGGCGGGCGAGGTCGCCCCTCAGTGTAGAGGTCGGCAGCTTCGCCCTCGGTGGCCGAGCGCAGGGCCACACCGGAGGCCTTGACTCCGCTCTGCCGTTTCTATCAGCCCTGATCGTCCTTCTGAGCATAAGAGCATCCGGGCTCCTCAAGTAATGAGTCCTGGGCTTTTGGTTTCCGGGGACAGACAGCAGATGCTGGGCTCGCGGAGCGTGGGGGAGGATCAATGAAACCAGTTTTCCTACCCAAGGGTTCCTGATTCAAGAGGTCATGACCTCCCAGCGAAGGGCAGTGACTTTTCACCGTGAGGACAGAATGAAATCAGCCTGATTTATTCAGAGGCGATGTGAGCGAGAATCTGAGTAACTGTTGCAGTGCAGACCATTGCTGCTGCCCGGAGGGCTTCCCAAGCCCGTTGCCGCTGAAATCGCCCTCACCCCTGACACCAGCCCGGGCCCCGCTCCACGTTCTTTGGGGCACTGCCCTCCTGGACACCGGCGTGGGAAGCCAGCTGCCAGCTTGCGTTTCTGTGCTAGTGTCCCAGCCGGCCCGAAGCCCCGCGCTCCTGAACGCCCCCGGAGCCCAGCACTCTCGCCTGCACACCACCGTTTCGTGTTTGGTTCCTGACCGGTCTCTTCGGGTTTTTCCACCTTTGTGCCCCAGAGCCCACACGACCGAGCCCCTGCAGGAGCGCGGGCTCACTGTCCCCTTCCTGGAACCTGCCGAATGCTTGGGCCCCTCAGCCAGGCCCGAAACCAGGAGGGCCCGCCGCTGGGCCTGCACCCAGGCCTCCACAGCGGCCTCCTCGGCCGGGCACCTCATTGGCCCGGGGCCCCACTTTCGCTGAGGTCTCCCAGCACCGCAGACTCAGCAGGCCAAGCGGAATCCATTCTCCTTCCTCCCACCCCATTCTGCCCTTCCCTTCCTTCCTCCTCTGTTTCCCAGGGGGGCTCGTTACTCGGCCCTTCATCCATGCTGTGGCTCAAGCTGGAGCGCTCAGAGCTTCCGTCCCCTCTTTCTGTCAGCTGGGTCCCCAGCTACTGGAGACTGTGCCACACAGCGGGATGGTCTTCTGCACATCGCCCCTGGCCACCTCATCCTTTAAAAAAGAATTGTGGCCGGGCATGGTGGCGCATGCCTGTAATCCCAGCACTCGGGAGGCTGAGGCAGGAGGATCTTTGTGTGTTCGAGACCAGCCTGGGCTACAAAGTGAGCTCAAGGCCAGCCTGAACTGCACAGTGAGACTTTGTCTCAAAAAAAACCACAAAAAACAAAAAACCCCAAAAACAAATAAAAAAGAATTGTGGTATTGCAGCAGACTCTCAACTGGTTTATGTTTTGTTTTTCTACTTGCAGAATTAACACATGCTCATTGCATATATGCAATTTAGAAAATGCGGAAATGAGTAAAGAATCTTCTTATGTAGAAGAACATTGCTAACACTTTGAGTATTTCCTTCCAATCTTCTTATGCAGATTGTTGTTCTGTGCGTGTTTGCTTGGAGAGCTGCCTTAGTTGCTTCTTGCTGAGACAAAATACCCAGCACCCGAAGTTAAAGGAGGAAAGGTTTGTTAGGCTCCCAGCCTGTAGAGGTCCTAGCAGGTGGCATCGCAGAGGAGAAATGGCTCATGGTGGGCAGAAGACAGCAAGCAGTGCAGAAGAAGCAAAGCAGCAAGCAACAAGTAGTGACAGGAGCAGCCCTGTTTCTGTCCCGTATATTCTGTCCAGGCTCCCTGCCCTAAGGGCGGGTAGCACTCACACCCAGGGTGGGGCAGCCTTATTCCTAGCATGGAACCATGAATCAATCCCAGTATCACAGCCTTAATCCTAGCATCACACACTCTAGACCTCTGAACGTCCCACCTATGACCGCATGAGGCTTTGGGGAACATCCAGACACAAGGCAAGGCAAGTGTCTATAACCGAGATCGTATCACAGAAATGAGTTTATGTCCCTCTTTACCTGCCGAGACGGTTTGCATACAGTGCCAGACATGCTCACAAACGTGCTTTTGAAAACTGGCATAATTTACTTGTCCCACTAGTTAGAAACTTAGATAAGACCACCTTTACACATAAATCTCTGCAGCTGTAAAGGCCTCACAAGGGACATGCACGGCCTCACAAAGAACATGAAAAATTACTGATTACTCCCCCTCTTGTCCTTTCCACCTGCGTCATTCCACATTCTAGCCACTCCCTGAAACTCCCTGAAACTCCCTGAAACGTATCGCTCCTTTCTTGTAAGTTTCCTAAAGTTTCTATAGTGTCTCGGAAGACTGCTTCACAAAGACTTCATTTGCCAAGCAGGACGTGGTTTTTTGGCTTAAAAGCTGCTCTCACACCTGGTTTGCTGCTGACCTGATCCCGCCCTGCGTGGAGGCTCTCAGTCAGTCGCTGGCCAGCTAATAAAGGCTCGTTCTAAAATCTCAATTGGCGAACCGTGCGTTTCGGTGTTTGTCGGTCGGTACCTTGGTTCGGTTCTGAGTCCAGAACAGCAGCTACGATTTTTTTCCCTAGGATATGTTCATAAAGTAGAATTGTTAGCTCCTTAAGTCCGATCCTATTTATATCCTTTTGTGTATATCTACATCCAGATGGGATTTCAGCCTTTTTAACGCTAATATATATATTGAGAGCTTTCTCCGGGCCAGACTTTTAAACAATCTCATTTGTATTGACTCACTTCCACCTCACAACTCTACGCCTGGTTATGAGGAAAAAAAATGGTTCATTTGGGGGTGGAGAAATTGGCTCCAAATTATATGAAGTAGCAGCAGCTCCTCCTCTAAATACAGCTCCTGAAATTGACATTTTCTCATCTCTTCAGAAGAGACAAAGCCACACCACTGATAAACATTCAAGGATAGTTCTGTGGTTTTTGTGAGAGAGAGGATTTTCCCTATGATATGAGGGAGGTCAAGTCCTTGCAGTGAATCAGCCCCTGTGTCCTAGAAAAGGATCTCACAGGCTGGGACAGCGTGGGGTTGTGCTCTGGCGTCCAGGGGCAGCAGAACTGCTCTCAGAATTAGGAGGAGACGCTGGATCCGGCTGTTAAATTTCTGCTACTTTATGTTTCCTTGCAGCAAGTGAGCTCTCCACTCCCAAGCCGGCCCCCTTGGTTGGAGGTGCCTAATGTTTCACACAGTAACGAGTTATTTCGCGTTCTTTTGGGGGAGGACTTCGCTGGAGCTGTCAGGTGGGGCGTGCGGGGGCAGGGGGCCACCCCAGGCCCTTCCCCCGCGGGCGTGGACGGTCTCGGCTTGAGATCGGGTTGCCAAGTGCTTTTTGGACTGGCAAATAGTCCCACTGTGGCTTTGGCTGGAAATCTCACCGGGATGCGCAGTGACTAAGCGGGTCCTGACTTGGGGCTCCCCCGACCTTCTCCCTCACGCGCCCGCCTCAGCCGTGGCCTTCACAGTCGCCCGGAAGCTCACACAGAGCCGAGAGGCCGGAGAGGCCCTGACCGCCCAGCCGCGGGGCTCCTGCAGCGGGCGCAGCTTCAGCCTTGGCGTTGCTTGTGCCCGTGAAAGGGAACACACAGGGCTCGGCACACGCAGCTGAAGAGAGAAAAGACTTCAGCCCTTTCAGCTGATCCCTGGTGAGGGGACCCAGCGGGTCCCGTGTGGGGAGGTCGGGAGCTCACTCTGCAGCCCGGTCACCTGGCTCACTCCCGGCTCTGCGACGTACGCTGGGTGCCCTTGGGCTGGTTGACCAGCCTCTCTGGCCTCACTCTGAAATGAGAGTAAGGGCGGCACCTACCTCACTGGGTTACTGTGAGTTACAGGCTGAAATATGCTGTTTTAAAACAACTTGGAGGGAGGACCCATAGCTTTCTGCTCAGTCAGCCTGAGGGACCGTACGTGGTGCGGGTTTGGTCACAAGGCGAGTTGAAGGAGGCAACGGGATTAATCTGGAGCATTGCTATTTCCTTGGCGTGCTCCAGAGGCGTGTCCTCGTCACGTGACAGCGCGGACAGTGCTGTGACCGATGGGCCCCAGGTGGGCATCCTGGAGCCTGTCCCTGAGAAGGACTCGAGGAGTGGCCTGTGCAGACACGTTTTCCCATGAGCCTCTGGTGCACGCACCCGCCACGGCTGTGTCACAAGCCCCAACACCCCAGCAGCTGCAACCCTG